TCAAAATTCGGCGAAATATGTACGCATACGCGAGGAGCGAGTTAGCCAATAGAATGTCATGGAATCTATAGTAGTGCTCGCCTGACGAGAGCACGGCTAACGGGTGGATTACCCGTCAGTCGTGCTATTAACCGCGGTCGGATGAAACTACGCAATCAGACCTCGAATTGGTTTTAATTAATAGATGACGCAAGTGTACCACGAATCATTTTTGTAACGCTAAAATTGTAAGAGTTGTGAAGTTGTGACGGCATTTTGTCGACTTTACTTTGGAAACTGTCGTTATTTATTTAAGGATTTAACGACTTTAATTCTGGCAGATGCCTTACTCAGCAAAATTACAGTTGGCAACGATGGTATAAATACTCGAAGGAATTTTTCACAGCAAAAGGTAACTAATTTTTGTTATTTCAATCGATATTTATGTTTATAATTTGTGTTCTGTCATTTTAGAATTATAAAACATTGTCATTGCTATTCATGTCTGCTTTGGAATCTGCTTCCGGTGAAAGAGATTTTGATCACGCTTCATATAAAGTTTTATAGTGAGTTTATAATCCTGTTTATAATCAAACGTGCTTGCACAGAACTTGAATTTTAATATACCATTATGCGGGTAAATTAAGAAGCAAGCTCATTGCTGGCATATTATACCACATCTGTCCTATCCACTTGCAGGTATAGAACTACAATTAACGCAGAAAACAGGCTGGACTATTTTATATTACTATAGTCTGTAATGGTCCATATGTAAATAACATCAGATCTAAGATGCAGCAGGGACGTAGTGACAGGGGGTGTGGGGGTATATACACCACAACAGTGAAACTCGGGTAAAATTCAAGTATAAATTTTGACATTTTCAGGTAAAATGTGCATAATAAAGATGTTGTTTTTGTGGAATGATAAATTAAACATTTTTGATACAGTCAGTTTAGTGTACTTTAGAAAACACTAGAAATGCATTTCCGGAGCTTCAAAAATTTAAACATTTTCTGGGGGAGGACCTCACACACACACCTTTTCTTAGGAAACTTAGTATGACAGTGGAAATCAATCAGAAAAAGCTCTATAATAATTATTAAACTTCATGTAGGTAGATTTTTAATATAATTATTACACTTCATGTAGGTAGATTTTTACCATTGAAGTTCAGATTTCAGGTAAAATCATCCGACACCCCAACTTCAGATGTTTTGCTACATGCCTGAAGATCAGTGCAATCACCATACAACACTGACCCTTGCAGTTGTAAGGTTATCATGAAAAAGCAAACCCACAGCCATAATGTGCTGAGGTCATCTCGACAAGTTTCAAGCTTTCTTTTCAGCATTTAATAACAGCACTGTAGAGTTAAATGTTGTTTAAATTTATACCTGCATCACTTACAATATTTCATCATTATGATCTGCCAGTAAATATTTGGTACTTAATTTTAAACAATTTGCCGATAAAAGCCCAATTCAAATTTATAGTGACGCACAACATCTACAATACTTCAAGCAACTAAGTGAACATATATTCTGGATGATTTGCTGACAATATGCTGACTAGTGATAATATTGGATACCATAGGAAGATCAGAATTTGCAAGTATCAGGGCAGTGCAACTATCAGACAAATGTTTAGCGGCGATGACATAATTGATTGGATGAGTTCATTATAAATTGCGATGCTGTTAGATCTTCAATAAATAAAAAAATGTTTAGAAATCTAGTATTAAATATTACATTAATAAATAAAGAACTTTGAGTTTTAATGTCTTATGAAATCTGCGATGCCAGCAATTCAAGAAAAGCTAATAATTGTAAACCAGACACCAGAATATGTTTGTAACCAGAAATCCATATAATGAAATCTTAGTGAATTACATGCATATTCGTGAAATCTTGTAAAACAATAAAACTGACATCATTACATGCATCATCCTTCATGACAATTAATGAATTTACAATACGAGATAGCTTTGATGCGGTACATGAGATTAATAATATTCCTCCTAACCTAACCTGTTTCGACGTAAAATACCTATTTAACAGTTATTCCACGAACTCGAGTCGAATATGAGCTCATTCCACGAACTCGAGTCGAATATGAGCGAATATGAGCTCATATTCGACGAGAGTGAGTGGAATAACTGTTTTATTATATACACAAGGTCTGAATTCACAGACTTTGCTTTTCGGATATTTTCAATATTTTTCTATTTTTTTAATGTTTTTTATCTTCGCTCTTTCGGCAGATTATTTTTTCAAAAATATATATTTTTAACCATTTTAAATTTTAAAAATTCATTTGCTAACCTGTAAACAATTTGTGGGAGTTTTTTCATTGTGTTTTTAATCCTGTAAAGGCTATAAAAAGCGGACAACTTGCCGTTTTCTTATTCGCAAACGTCGGAAATTCAGTTTCAGCCGCCATTTTGTTTTTCGCTACTAGCAGGATATGAGCTAATATCCTGCTAGTAGAGAACCAATCAGATTGCAGAATACCTCATATCCAGACCTTGTGTATATAATAATTACTATTATCCCACTCCACAAAACTGTTAAGTAAACATAATATTAAAACGCATCTATGATGATAAGCTATAAACTAAACGAACACTAAAGAAACTAATACTAGATCCATGTACCAAAACAATCTTTTCACTTAATAACATCTTTATAAACAAGTCGAGAGGGTTTCTAGCATGGGTTCTCCCTTAGGTCCGACATTAGCTAACATAATCATGGCGGAATTTGAACAAGAAATTGTTAAACCTCTCATTAATTCAGGACTAATAAGATTTTACCAACGTTATGATGACGAAACCCTTACCCTCATGAGACCATCTGACCATCCTAACTTACAATTCACCGTTGACGAATTTAGCGACAATGACATCCATTTCCTTGACATCCACATATCAAGCTTCACACCCGGTCAGGAAAACATGCTTGGATCTGTGCTCTCGTAAATCGCGCCTACAATATCTGCAGTAATGGCACTCTCTTGAACAACGAGTTAAAAATTTACTTAAAAACTTATTAACCAATTTAAACCATCACCACCGGTATTTATAATAACAACGACAACGAAGCCACAATGACTGAAACAAACCAAACTTCTAATATCTGGTTACTGCTCCCATATTGTGGCAAACTTGGTGAAAGATTGACTCGTTCGCTGATACGCAAAATAACCCCTCTCCTCATATTAAAATGCAGATTCATTAGGCCCTATTAACTAGAAAACCATTAACAACAACATATTTGTATCATGCAAAGATAAAACCCCGAAAACTTATCAAAGCTCTGTCGTCTATGAATTTACTTGCCCTGAATGTAATAGTAGCGTAGGTACATCGGCAAAACTGACCGCTGCTTATACACCAGAATAAGGAACATTCATATCACACAAAATCTGTATTCCATCAACACCTCTCTACTTGCGAACAGTTTCAACATATTAAAGCCCTTTTAGAATCATATCCCGACAATGACGCAAAGTCTAAACAAACCAGTATAATTGCTGAACATGTTTTCCACAATACTAAAGTAATTGATAAATCTAACCATTGGTCCCTTTTGCAGTATCAAGAATCCCTCGTTATTCAAAGATATAAACCTGAATTTAATCATGGACTTAAAGCTTCTGAACAACTAATCATATTTAATTAATTAATTCATTAATAATCAACCTAATGATTGTATCATATTTCTTCATATAAATACTGCTTTTGATATATAACCTAGCTAGTTTATCCTGATGATGACTGAAATATAGTCGAAACGTAGATAAATAAAAATGTTATCGATTTTTGGAGTTTCACTTGTTTTGTATTTAGTTGCTGTATATGCTTATTTTATTAAAGCAAGACATTTATTAATTAATATTGTTGGCTGCAGAATTGCTACCAAGCATTGCCTTTAATCGACCGATTGTTGTAGCCATTTGTTGACATTGTAAGAAAGATACTGCAGTCATCTGTTTTATTTTGACCATTCTTCTATAATTGTAATTATCATTTTTGTATCACATTACCAATGAATGTTTCCGATGAATGTTCCAATGAAAATGTGAACTCCAGCGCTGTATTCGACAAGCTGAATAGGCTAGCCACGTGTACGCAGTGCGTTCCTGTTTTCTAAATTTTGCAGACATATATTTTACGACTAAAAATTACTTTCTTTGAAAACTGCTTACTCGTGCCCAGCACGACTAGCACGACCTCTAGCTTCGATACTGATTCTCTGTGAAACACCGTACGAATACTTTTTTAGTTGTTTTATGATTGGACAATTCGAATTTGAGCTATAATATTGTTTAAAATCCGAGCTTATTGATCCGATGCTTTAGTTTGCAATGACAATTTTTTTGTGTGCATGCCTAGTAGTACTACTGATATTTTTTGATTTCCTGCCATCTGATTGGCTGCAGCAGCGAGCAGCTTTTTACGAAAAACCGAGGGGTGAAGACAATTTCCAAACTCAAAACACTACCCAAAAATTTTGAAAATCCATCCTATCGACACTACAGACAGTAAAATACAGTGAATTGGCTTCAGTGGACTTAGTGCCATGCCCAAAATGTACTTTTCTCGGACCAAACCGCGAAAAAAACAAATATAAACATCGAAAACACTTGCCAGTGTTTTGATTTAAATGTTCCACATATATACAGCTTTTCCTCAAGAATATACGTATAAATATAAATGGTATAACGTACAACTTGTCCTAAAACATAAAATGTTAAAAAAGCAACCTTAAATGGCAGTTTAAAGACGATTCCTGGGCTTATTCGGGCAACATTGTTTTTATAAATATTGTAAGCAACAAATTGTTTTTCGGCAACTAAAATTTGTATTTGTCTGTCAAAAAGCATTTTTCAAGCATGTCCATGTTACACAACGAATCGGAAAATAAATATTTTTACTTTGTTTACCTTCTGTTTTCTTGTTGAGTAGAAAAGATTCTATTGCAATGAAACTATAATAGCTTTCATCCAGTTTTTATCGCGTCGTTTTACGGTTTGAGCTGTTTGTCAGCCATGCTTGCACTAAAGTAACAAATGCAAACGCAACTGATCATGATGTCAAGTGTACTTCGCAACTGGAATTTTATCGGAATTTCATTGTATTAACCATGAACTATCAAATAAAAAAATTAACACGTTATAAATACCGTTGAAGTCGGTCCGTACTAAAAATATTTTCCCTCGGCCTCAAAAGCGTCCCTTGGCCTTCGGTCTCGAGTCGCTTCAGAGACCTTGGGAAAATATTTTTTCAGGACGGACCTCGCAGCCGGTAATTAACATATATATATTTTCCACAAACCGAAAAATGTTATTACTACGGCATGCACGATTACAACTGAAGCACTTATCGCTGGAATATAAAATTCCATATAATTTCAAGTTAAACTTCGTAATTACTACACTATTATATTGGAATGGCCTAAAGATAAAAAAGATTAATTAACATTGACAATTCTATAGAGTGCAAATTTACACAAACTTAATTCTGTCATCTGCCTCTCGACTTTTAATTAATTAAACGTCTGATTCGTTACCAGGCAGAGGATATCCGTAATTTATTTATGATTCCTAATATCTTTGAAGCAAATGATTGTATTGATGATTGTATTTATTATTCACTTGATTTTTAGTTTTTAAGAAACGTCAGCCAGTAAAGGATGGTGAAAATTAGTTAATTAAACCCTTTGCTTCCACTAAGGAAATTGGGTATTGAATAGTACTCTGCCTGACAGAAGCAAGTAAATAAGTAGGCCAATCAATAAGTCAAAATTTAAGATAAAAATATAATATAATTAAATGAACATATACTTAAATTTTATTCTGGGTTTACCTGGATGACAAGTAAAGTCCATCCCCCCCCCGTAAACTACCCAATTGAATCGTTAACTTCTCTTGCCCTATCCTTTCGTGTTCTGTCCAGTCCTGTCGTGTCCAGGCCAGTCCTGCCATGTCCTTTCCTATACTGACCCTTCACGTCTTGTCTTGGCGCGAACAAAAAAGCTTGTTCAAATAGAACAAGCTAGAAATACAGATCACGTTTTCTTGCAAAATAATTCACAACCTCAGTAAAGGCTTAGATTTATAAACCCTGCAAAACTTTAGCGGCGCTGTCGTCTGAGCTTAACAAACTAGTGACGTCAGAATTTTGTAACTATAAATAGTCACGCCAAGCATGCACCTAGGTAGGGTATAGCACGATATGTAATTCCATTATCCACATATACTCCAATTCTTGGCCAGAATCAAAATAACCTTATTCACTCGCTGCTATCCATTACTCCGAAACTGAACATGAACATAGCTATATGTCAAGCTGATCTTTAAATAACGACGTCTTGCTCCTTTGAATCAAAAGGGAAACCTGGCTTCCTAAAACAAACCGTAATATGCCTTCGTGGAGACTATATAACGGAACGAAAAACAAGGTGGAATTTCGTTCTCTGCCAATCAATGCAATTGTTGATATTTTTGCCCTAAGCCAATCACAATGCGTAATTGGTTACTATACTTCCGGTAAAAACACACATTTGAACAGGACAATTTAGAATCTTAAATAAAGCTTCAAGGTGGTCAACATTTTAAAATTTTGATTGGATTCAACGATGCAACGTAAAATAGGAAATTTTCTAAAAATTCGCCGCAGGGACTTGCTTTTTATTGCCTAGTTTTAAAGTGATCGCAACTCGAACAGCGGCGTATAAAAAGCGCAAAAGTTCGAATGTCGATAACATTAGCACTAGGCAATAAAACCCAAATCACGTTGAATCCAATCAAAATAAATAAAAATTCTGAACCCCACGAAGTTAATGTTCTGTTTTAACAGGAAGTATGCTTCTGTGCTCGCAAGGAAATCACCTACAGAAACTAATTACGCATTTTGATTGGCTTAGAGCGAAATGTCAACAAATTCGCTGATTGATAGAGAACGAAATTCCCCCTTGTCGAAACGAAACAAAACGCCCGATATCTGATTTAAATTAACGTACCAGCGCCCTGACCACTGAGATATACAGTACTGGATCGACTAAAGCGCAAGGCGCTACGTTAATGATTGGGGAATGACATTTTCTGACGCAGTCTGAAATGAACAGTGCATTTTGTTCTTAAATGTACAATTGGATATGTACAGTAAGGACAACAACCATATTCACTTATCGTAGAGCTAAATATGTTTCTACGCTGGGTTAGAATCTTACAATTATTGTTTATTTAGTTTCCCACTCAATGAAACGACTTTCGCAAAAAATTTTGCCGAATTGTTAGGGAATCCAAGGCATGCACCAATAATTTTAATGTCTTTATCCGAGAAGACGCGAAATCTAACAATTATACTGATGTCAATGTAAAGGCAATACTGTGGTCTCCCTTTCATTTAATATTATTTTAAGACCTTGAGTAGAGGTGCGACCAGGGATTGAGCAATTGGGTCTATCAGCTTGAAATGCAAGCGCGTAGACCACTAGCCTGCGAACAGGCTCTCAAGCTGAATTGAGAGCCTGCATCGATGACTAATGAATTTGAATATCTGCGTCTCAAATCGTGACGCGAAATTCTCATTGGTCAGATGCTATAATTTATATTATTCCGCTGAGCTCTATATATGTCAACTGCTAAGCACTATGCATAAAAAACACATTAACTGATCAAATTGGTCTTGGCCATCTTATCTCAAAGCACGAAATGTTCCGTTTTGAGAAAACAGTATTTAAAACATTTAAACTTTTGCTTCAATATCTTATATTTCGAAAAACAGTATAAACTGTACGGTCTAAATTTAGTTTGCACGAAAGTTGTAAACAACACCATATAAGGATAGACATTCCATATTTGGAAAAACGAACGTTAAGGGGGAAGATATTCAAATTCATTAGTCATCGATGCAGGCTCTCAATTCAGCTTGAGAGCCTGTTCGCAGGCTAGTTGACCACCATATCACAAGGGCTGATAATGTACTGTAAAGCTAATCATAATTATTTGGAAATAGGATATTCGCGCTTGAAGTACATATACATAATCTAGATCATAAATCTGGGGCAACTGATCGCTCACAGTTAACTACAATATTCGTATCATTCCAAAAAAAACCCAGAGACGTTAACATAAAGAACCTCTTGCAAAACTTCAGCAAGATAAAAAATTATGTTGCATGCATGCATGTATGCATGGCCTTCGTTCGCTCTATATTTACGCATTAAAGTCGAGTATCCAATATATTAGAAGAGTATCAATGAAAATCACACGTAATTTGCAAACTAAGTTTATTTTTAAAAAGAGAATTCCGAGAAATGTTCACATCTTTTAACTACATGTTGTATTTCTAGTAAATTTGGAGTTATCTACTTGGAGATATATCCTTTCTTAGCCAGGTATTCTTGTAGGTATGACGTAGTTTATCCGTAGTAGGATGCTCGGCACTAGAAAAAATAGCAAATAATTTAACAGAAAGCCATACAGTAGTTAAAATATTTAGAATTATACGTAATGGTAAATATACGTTTCGCAAGGGGTTCAAAGATGATACTATTGTACAATAAGTTTAACTTCATTCCTGGTTGAACTTCCTTCCATTATATATATTACGAACAAACGACTTGAGAGAATTTAGCACGGAGGACCATCCGTAAATATTCAGATGGGAAAAAAATTTTCTGGAACGTATTACAAGGAAATATTAAGACTCTTGATTCCCACTACGGCGCTAGCTATATTGTTGATCAATCAGACACGTTTAGTCGAAATCAAATCTCTCATGAATTGCGGCCGTCATATTAGCTGCAAATAATGGAACTATTGACCGCATCTCTCATCCCCCTCACATGAACACATACACGCACAGGATCGAATATGAGACTCTCCTTTTTTAGAGCATCTCCACCTTTGGGTTCAAATATCCAACGACAGTAGTTCATGCACATACTAGGCCACTATGTGGAATAGGAGAAAGATTTAAGCATTCATTAACACATTACTTACCTTTCTGTATCTGCACACATTTCTGCAAACACGACCGCAATGATAACGTCGGTTGTAACATTTTGTGCAGAAACTTCGCACACGTTTGCAGACGAGAACTCTGTATGGAATCTTTTTGATTCTCCACAAGTAACGACGTCTCCCATATCCGTAGTAATGAGGGTTGCGGTATTTGTATCTAACGATTCTGTATTTGATCACCCTACGGCATACTCTCCTGGTACATCTCACTCGTCTGCAGACACGTCGATGGCACACTTTGGCTTTGCATACACGGCGGCATCCACATGCCTTACACCAACGTCTACCTTTCCTGTATCGTCTGCATGCCCAACCTGAATATATAAACCACATTGTAGGGAATTCTTACAAATAAAGCTTTATTAAGCCTTGTGTCAATGTTGTTGAGGTCAGAAAATAGAAACAGAGGATGATAGCTAAACAAGCATTGGTGATTTGGAACTATGGAAACTGATCTGGTCATGTGATTACAATCGTGTGAGTCTAATACAGCTTTAGGATGCTAGTGGGCTTTTACCTAATCAGAATAATTTAGAAACACCACTTTCCTAGTTGTTAGGAGAACTGATGGTTGAATTGAATATTGAATACAAAAATACTGTTCTTGCTAATGGAGATACTCAAAGGATTAAAGTTCCTCACAAGGATATTGCGAGAATGGAACTCACTGACTCCTTCAGCCACGTTGACCCATCGTACGTCAATTTTATATATTTCAGATCAAATTAGAAAATTAGATCTGAAATACAATTTAGTTGCAAAAATCCATGTTAGTAACTCTGACTGTGGACAAAAAAGTGTGATATCTGTTTAAAGTTGAAAATTTTTTTTGGTGAAAATTCAATGTCTATATCACACTGGAAAATTTTTATTTTCATATTTGTCTTGCTATTCACCATGTGGTTCACTAATCCTTTCAACAAATATTTCAACAAAGAGACTAAATTTAGAAAATAATTTTAGAAATATAATATGGTAACAATGGAAAAACACTGACCTCGTTTCTCGGGCTCATCATCTGCGATATCGGTTGTTTCGTCTATAGAAAGAAGCATATTTTTTCAATTGTTTGTTAATTTATTTATTCAGCCTTGCTACATAACTATATTCTCTATATTTTTCTGCGCTATCAAACGCTTTTTGTGCAGTGTCGTATCGAAAGAAAGGAAACTCCAGTAAGTGTTGTGGAACTAAATAGTATTATATGTTGGAGGATTTGCGAATGGAAATTTTGAGTGTAAATTTTATACTAATTTCTCTTGACTTGAATTACAGCAGATAATTTTCAGAAAGATTTTAAGTGATAGAATATAGAGTTATTAAGTAACTTTTTACAGCTTGCAACAATAAGCAGTGCGTATGCATGTACATTGGCATCGGCAGTTCAATTATACACGTAGCTTAGTGATGTATTGTATTAGTGCTGGGTTTTCAGGCTGCAGGTCATCATTGGTTTTGGCAGGGCAATTCTACTAGACACCCCTTATTTAAAATGTGCTACTTTCGCCCCTGCATGCACGTTGTGCTGCTAGTGTCATTTCTACTTACTGATGGAAAGAATTATCCATAATTTGGACAGAATTTGTTCTCAATGACCAGGCTCTTTCAATTAAAATTGAGTTCTCAAAACTACATAGCCATAACGTTCGCAATATTAGAAATATTGGTTTACCTTCATCTTCTTCGAACTGTTCGTCTTCTTGCGCACTGTCTTCTTCTTGCGGATCGTCATCTTCTTGCGCACCGTCATCTTCCGTCTCTTTTTCGTCACTTTCAGTCTCGACTTCGTTGTTTTTCGTTTCAGCTTCGTCAGCTTCCGTTTGTTCTTCGTCAGCCATCACATCAGGTGTCTCTTGCTGATCCACCATCTTGGAAGAATCGACAGCTGTTGTCTCATCATCAGCGCGAGCAACTTTGTTGGGAAAATAATGAAATAAATTATCTCAAGCCAAAGTTGTTCGCAGTACGGAGGTCAAGATTTGGGTCTGCAAATTTAGTATTTGCCTTAAAACAGTTGCGAGGCAACTTGACTACGTATCTCATTTGGTAGACTAATGCACTAACAAATGGTCTGAGGCTGGAAAAGCACCTTTGATAAGTGGTTGGGTTTTTAATTAAAATTGATTCACACAATACAGTCATTAGAAACATTAAATACATTCATATCATACGTACCAAGCACACAGGCTGAAGCCACCAAAAGGAAACACAACAGTGCAATATTCTTCATTGTTCTTTAAGTTATCCTCCAACTCTTTCTTTCATGAAGACCAAAGATGAAGTGACGAACTGATGAAACTCGCACCTTTTATATTCTTTCGAAGGCTTCATTATGCAGAGCTCACGACGCCCTTGCCATGACTACAATATTCATTAGGGTGATTGACAACATTGTAAGGTAATATAATGAGTGCTTTGACATATATTTTTTAGCATCCTAATAATAAAGAAAGCTTTGAAAAGAGAGTACAACACCTCAAAGTTAATATAAAGAATCTCAAACGCAAAAGCCACTATATCTCAAGTGCTTCAGATTTTGAACTTCCAGAAGGGTTATTGTAGGTGTGTTTTTTGTACGTCGGATATAATTCGAACTAAGTTAACTACGTTTGACAAGAACACAAGTACCTGAAAAATACTAGGAGAATTTCGAAGTTCAGAGAATGCGGTTTCGGAATTTAAAGTATTATTAGGTTGAGCTTTAGAGATTTTCATTTTAAGCAACAGAATATACTTGGACGGACTGCCTTCACGACTTGCACAAACAAACTTGTATCACAAAAAATGTTGAGATATTTTGACGATAATGCGTAATATGAAATGAAACCCCTGTCATAGGCGTATTTTGAATCTCACGATGCAGGACAAAATCAATATAACGTTGTATATCATTGTCATTACCGGAAAGTTTTCTACAATAAATAAATCTGCTGATTTCAGCAAACCAAAACATATGTATTATACTGTGTATAACTTAATAAGATTAAATGACCTTAAAAATATGGTTTGTCTTGTATATTTTTGTTAGCTGTAATCTATAATCCCTGACGTATATCAGATGAACATACATCTGTCATCCTTGTCAGGTCTTGAAATGGATATTTCCTGTTTTTCTACAGTTCCTTTCGCTGAAGCCATTCACGTCCAAGCACATATACAAGAAGGTGTCGAACTAACAGGTGCGTATTTCCTCTCTTAGCCACTCCTTCATTTTAGCCGTTTTCCCGGCTAATTAGACAAAAAAGGCACGAATCCCCATCTACCTATGCCGTTTTTTACTAATTAATGACACTCAATTGAAACTATTAAAGCGAAATATGACTGCACAAATCTTAATTTATAAGGTTCACTGGTACAACACAGTACTTGACGAGATTTTGAAATTAATTCTTGGTCTGACGGGCAGGCAAAAATTCCTACATTGCTCAGGTTAATCGTGAGAAAGAAAGAAAGGAAAATCCCAGGTAGAGAGCAATAAAATATATGCATGTTGCTCCAAGCTTTTTCTCACATTGAACAAGCGAGACAATTAGTCTATCAACTTGCAGTTTTACATTTTATTGACAGTTAGTTCCGATTAGTTCTCCGAGTGCATGTCTGGTCTAGAAGTGCTATATTCGAAGTGTTTTTTTAATATAAATTTAATGCAGAACGTGACTTTTAGAACCATTGACAGAAGAGCATTATTAATTGATATTAGTTTTCTACAAATAAGGGAAAACGAACGGTACCAAAAGAGAACTTGTGGCTTTTGCTATAACCAAGCCTGAAACACTGTTCTTACATGCAATAATCGGTAATGTGCACTCGGGATTATGGATTAATATTTTATTGATCAAGTGGTAGGCAAACAGTAGCCGAGCTCTCAGATTGCAATAATTGCGAGATAAATTTTTTCACCCTGTATATTCCCAGTAAAAACTGAAAGGCATTGTATATTAATTAAATGCAAAATATAGTATAAAGCAATGACCATTTTCCGCCAATTTCTGGTTCTAAAAAAATTGCTTGACTTTGAAGGACGATGAAGGTCGTGGGCAATGAACAAACAACCGAACAAAGAATCTCAGTGCTGCTATGACGTGTGATATGAAATCTAGTTTTCATACAACCAACATTTTTATGACAGTGTTCTTATAATTAAAATAAAACTTTGAAATTACAAACAAAATCGTTCCAGAAATATGCAATTTAAATTGTTAATTAGGGTGCTGATAAACATCTAATGCAACTTGACCATTTTTTTTTGCAATTTGTTAGGCCTCTAAATGCCTTTCCGGTGTTCACGACGCCATCTCGCCAACGCTGGTAAGACAATTGGCTTATCACAATGGGAATATTTGTCCGTATATAGGTTCAAGTTATTGTTCGCGTACCGTGATACTCAACTTAGCAAGATATCCTGTATTGTATGTAATATATGTATTAAGAGACATTTCCCAAAAGGGTTGTTGAAGAAAAAATTCAGTAGTGAAAACCGCTGCAAAAGAAGATCTTGTCAATGTAGTAATCATTTTGGGGTGTTGATATAATTAATAACATAAGGGCACCGAGAATTAAGACAATAACTGAAGCACTATTAATTAGACACGATACTAAGTTTGTATAGATAATAACTATATTCGTGTGGAGCGTGAAGACCTTCAAAATTGTCTTGTCAAAAGGTCCGCGAATGTAATTTGAAGTCTTTGAAAACGCGCGAGTGCACTTTTTCCAATTGAAGGATGATCAACAAAAATATTACCAACTGATAAAAAATGTCAAAAAATGTTGAGAAGGAAACTCGTGGTTATTTATTTGAGTGCTTCCCACGTCTTTCCTGTTTGGCACGGAGTAACTTTTTGTGACAAGTACAATATATATGCATAATTAGGTAATTTATTGCTACAGGTAATTTGTTGCCACATATTAAGTCACATATACGTGTATTTTTTATGGCAAAGCTGTCGACTTGTTAGCGCGGACGGAAGTTTTCCAATGCTATATAATATATTATTGTCATTTTCAGAATACAAAACAAGTGAAACTCCAAAAATCGATGACATTTTTATTTACCTACGTTTCCACTATATTTCAGTCATCATGCATCAGGATAAACTAGGTACTGTATACGTATTTGTGTCATGTATGCAAAGATATAAAACACGGAAAACTTATCAAAGCTCTGTAGTCTATGAATTTACTTGTCCTGGATGTAATAGTAGGTACATCGGCAAAAATGATCGCTGCTTATACACAAGAACTAAGGAAATACGAACATTCACATCACACAGAATCTGCAATCCATCAACACCTCTCTACTTGCGAACCGAGTTTCAACATATTAAAGCCCTTTTAGAACTATATCCCGACGATGACGCAAAGTCCAATCATGCAAACCAGTATAATGGCTGAACATGTTTTCAACAACAATAAAGTAATTGATAAATCTAACCATTGGTCCCTTTTGCTATATCAAGAATGCCTCGCTATTCAAAAATATAAACCTGAACTTAATCATGGACTTAATGCTTCTAAAGAACTAATCATATTTAATTAATTCATAAATAATCAACCTAATTATTGTATCATAGGTTGATTATTATCACCTTCTTATAAATACCGCTTTTGATATATAACCTAGCCAGTTTATCCTGATGATGACTGAAATATAGTCAAAACGTGGATACATAAAAATGTTAACGATTTTTGGAGTTTCACTTGTTTTGTATTTTATTAAAATACTCAGTGGTTCTAAATATTTTTGATTATCAAAATGTTTGCCACAATAAATAAACCTAAATATCTGTATTACCGCTTTGTAAACTCACCTAGATTTGATTTACACAAAACTTATTACATGCACGTACAGGGAACTTAATAGGATCAAATCACATTTAAAAATATAGTTTGTCATAAATATTTTTGTTAGTTGATTCTATAATTTCGGACGTATATGAGATAAATATTTTCGTGTTATCCTAGTCAGATCTTGAAATGAATATTTCCTGTTTCCAGCCAGTGTCGAAATAGCGGTTACGCATTTTCTCTTTTAACTTCAGCCCCATTTAACCGCGTCTCCCATGCTAATTATCCCCCAGTGTAGAGGCGTTGAAACAAAACAAGGTCAAATCCTCTACTTAGGCACGGATCCTATATACGCAAGCCCGGCATGAACTAACTAGTCATTCTGGATCTAAATTAAAGCGAAATATGGCTGCATGCACAAACGTTCTTTATAGCGTTCAATGGTAAAATACTGTGCATACTCTGTAAAATACTGTACATACTATTATTATGTACTAGGTTACCCACAGGGCAGTAATGCTGCCTTTGACATGCAGCAAAAGACAAACTACAGGGTGTTGAACGAGTCCTTCAGAAACATCCTATTATTGTTTAGCCTGCATGGCAGGCGGTTCCTAAAATTGGGCAAGCCTGGTAAATACCGCCTGCCATGCAGGCTAATTATTGTTATCCTTGTTAACCCATTTATTGACAGTACCCTACCACTGACTGAGTATTAAAAATCGTCTGGCGTTGGACAGGGTGATACTAAAGTAGGGATCATTACTGTGCTGATGAATTAACAAGAGCCATTGGCAGATACGTTTGTTAACCCATTTACTGGCAGTACCCTGTACCACTGACGAGTAAAATCTTCTGGCGCTGGACAAGGGAAGGGCGCATTGCCAGCTAATGGGTTAAACCACCGCGGTTAAGCATAAGATTTCATGCTCCAGGAAATGTAAACAAACTATCAGTGTAACACTCCAGTTTATATATTTATATACTCACTATTGATTTCTCGGTATATACAAAATTATTTTAAAGTATAACAACCAGCGAAGACGTAAGCCACCAACTACCCTGCGTGGCTGCGCGCAGACTATATAATGACATATATATGTTATACGTCCGTCGCCATCCGTCCGTCCGTCCGTCATTCACCCGTCCGTCCGT